CAGATAGCTCATTGTGTTGCTTTGTGCTTAGTTACAAAGAAATAAACGGATATACATTTCATTATATTTTGACTTTCTTTTTTTAAACTGAGTGCATTATTCAGATTTGTTTGTTTGTTTGAGAGTTTACGCGCAAGCTTCACAAAGAGCAATATGTTTACAGCTGTCCCTAATTTTGAAATAATAAGGGCGGCATGTCAACTGCACCCACTCCAACTCTTGGGCTACTCTCGTCTGACCAGGTAATGGGATCATGACTGTTACTGTTATAACACAACCACATCTCTAAAGTGCGGGGCACTTTTTTTTGCGACAATAGAACGCCAACCTTCGGATTCATAGTCCGAGCACGCTAACCATCAGACTACGTCAGGAAAAATCGTAAAATGTGTTGCTTCTTAAGTAAGCGATTCACGATTTAGAAGCATCCATTAAAATATTTAGAAAATATAACACTTACCATCCGTCTGAGCGTCACCTGGAACACTTCAGGTAGGTGACACTTACCGTTCCTCTGAGCGTCATCTGGAACACTTCAGGTAGGTGACACTTACCTTCCCTCTGAGCGTCATCTGAAACACTTCAGGTAGGTGACACTTACTGTCCCTCTGAACATTATTTGGAACACTTCAGGTAGGTAACATGTACCGTCCCTCTGAGAGTCATCAGGAACACTTTAGGCAGGTAACCCTTACCGTCCTTCTGAGCGTCATCTGAAACACTTCAGGTACGTAACATGTACCGTCCCTCTGAGAGTCACCTGGAACACTTCAGGCAGATAACACTTACCGATCTTCCGAGCGTCATCTAGAACACTTCAGGTAGGTAACATGTACAGTTCCTCTGAGACTCATCTGGAACACTTCAGGCAGGTAACACTTACCGTCTCTCTGAGCGTCATCTGGAACACTTCAGGTAGTAAATTTTACTAAATGATCAGGATTGGGTTACTAATATGCACTGTTGTATCTTCCAATTTGTGGGGGAATTACCCCCGTTTTTGTTGATGTTCAAACGGCGTTTAAAACCAGACCTCAAAATACATAAATTTTCACGAAGATCTGCTATTCTTATGAACCAAGATTTCAGTACATTCGATATATATATAGCCTTAGTCCTAGTCCTAGTGAGTTCATCATGAGTTTTCAAAACGTCATCCAATGCCTTTGTCATGTTTCCATCCTGATTATCATCAAAAATCAAGGATGTCGAATGACGCACTTTCCTGGTCTATTTTTCTCTTCTCTATGATTTTCTTTTACCGGTTTCGTGACTTCAAAGGTCACCCTTCAGGACGTAATTTTACCTAGAATCTATAAAAAAAGACATTATTGGCGCCACTTTAAACAGACAGAGGTAAGAGTAGCTATGTAAAGTTAGTTTGAATTGTGAAACTTTAAAAACTATTACTAAGAGTCACAAAAATTGACAATATAGTAAATTAGAGGTATATAATTTTGTATTGAATATAGAGGTTAAGCACAAAGCTACACAATGGGCTATCTGTGCTCTGCCCACCACGAGTATCGAAACGCGGTTTCTAGCGTTGTAAGTCCGCAGACATACCGCTGTGCCACTGGGGGGGGGGGGCGAAATGTAAGGGAAATAGACTGTTTTTTATAATAAGTATAATTAAAGCAACATTTTAATCAAAATAAAAGATAAAGAGATAGAAAGGAACATATATTTGATAAGTTAAAATTAAATTAATTTATTTTTAAATATATTCTAATCTACTTAAGCTATACATGAACTTTATTTTATGTTTGTATATTTTGAAAACAAAGTGGTATTTGAATGTGTTTGTTATAGATTTTCTGTAAAATCGTATCCTGAA